GGACGAGGATTAGCCGGCGGGTGAAAAATGACCGGGACGCGGCGCGCCGCGCGGGAAGAACTCCCCAGCTGTCTGTCTGTCTCTCCGCGGCAGGGCTTCTGCTCCGGCCACGGTGGCATCCAATCGGTTCTCGGGGCGCCCACCTTTCACGGAGTCAGTCACCCCGCGGGACCCCACTTCCCTCCCCAGGCACCGCCGCCCGCCTCCCGGGGCCTCCGCCGCGTGTGCCGCGCCCTCCCGACCCTCCCCAGGCCTGCCCTCGCCGGCCCTCCCCTCCCAGCCCTGCCCTCCCCAGGCCTGCCCTCCCCAGGCCTGCCCTTGCCGGCCCTCCCCTCCCAGCCCTGCCCTCCCCAGGCCTGCCCTTGCCGGCCCTCCCCTCCCAGCCCTGCCCTCCCCAGGCCTGCCCTTGCCGGCCCTCCCCGGCCCTCCCCTCCCAGCCCTGCCCTCCCCAGGCCTGCCCTCCCCAGGCCTGCCCTTGCCGGCCCTCCCCTCCCAGCCCTGCCCTCCCCAGGCCTGCCCTTGCCGGCCCTCCCCTCCCAGCCCTGCCCTCCCCAGGCCTGCCCTTGCCGGCCCTCCCCTCCCAGCCCTGCCCTCCCCAGGCCTGCCCTTGCCGGCCCTCCCCTCCCAGCCCTGCCCTCCCCAGGCCTGCCCTCCCCAGGCCTGCCCTTGCCGGCCCTCCCCGGCCCTCCCCTCCCAGCCCTGCCCTCCCCAGGCCTGCCCTTGCCGGCCCTCCCCTCCCAGCCCTGCCCTCCCCAGGCCTGCCCTTGCCGGCCCTCCCCGGCCCTCCCCTCCCAGCCCTGCCCTCCCCAGGCCTGCCCTCCCCAGGCCTGCCCTTGCCGGCCCTCCCCTCCCAGCCCTGCCCTCCCCAGGCCTGCCCTTGCCGGCCCTCCCCGGCCCTCCCCTCCCAGCCCTGCCCTCCCCAGGCCTGCCCTTGCCGGCCCTCCCCTCCCAGCCCTGCCCTCCCCAGGCCTGCCCTCCCCAGGCCTGCCCTTGCCGGCCCTCCCCGGCCCTCCCCTCCCAGCCCTGCCCTCCCCAGGCCTGCCCTTGCCGGCCCTCCCCTCCCAGCCCTGCCCTCCCCAGGCCTGCCCTTGCCGGCCCTCCCCGGCCCTCCCCTCCCAGCCCTGCCCTCCCTGGCCTGGCTGGCCCAGGCCCTGTCCCTCCCCTCCCAGCCCAGCCCCACCAGCCCAGCCCCTCCCCGACCCTCCCCAGGCCTGCCCTCCCCAACCCTGCCCTCCCAGGCCCTGCCGGCCCTGTCCCTCCCCTCCCAGCCCAGCCCCACCAGCCCAGCCCCTCCCCGACCCTCCTCAGGCCTGCCCTTGCCAGCTCTCCCCAGCCCTGCCCTCCCCAACCTTGCCCTCCCCGGCCCGGCCGGCCCAGGCCCTGACCCTCCCCTCCCAGCCCTGCCCCACCAGCCCTGCCTCTCCCCAGCCCTCCCCAGCGGGGGAGAGGGGAGACCGAGAGCCCTGCGAGCAGGGGCCTCATTAGAGCAGTTACTCAGCGGCGCTGGCAATGGCTGATAAGCTTTATCAGCGCATCTCCCCTCCGACAGACAGAGCACACGGCCCAGGAAATGGCACCCTGGAGCCCCATGGGTGGCCAGCCCGGCTGGGAAAGGCGCGGGCACTGACATCACCCAGACCCGCCGGCCACAGGCTGGAAGCGGCACAGTAAAGAAACAGCCGCGACCTGCCTGGGACAGACACCCTGCATCTCATCAGTTAGTATGCAGAATTACACAGGACACTGCAGACACATTTAGAGAACCAGACACACCATTAAACTTAACACCCTTGTGTGCTCAGATGCACACATACGCACACACCTACACACCCTCTGGCACACATATTCAGCGACGGAGCACCCGTGCCACTCTGCAGGTGTTCTGTCCTGCAGTGACCTGCTCCCCAAAGCACAAACCACATCCACGAGGATGGACAAAACCACTCACTTCTGCAAACACCTGTGTGCTCACCAGCACACACGGGCACAGAGTGACAGGCAGAGTGCACACAGCCGGGGAATTCACAAACACCCGCAGCGGGAGGTGGAGGGACAGACCCCTTCCCGCCCAGGGGCCTCCCGCCTTTTCTAGGCAAAGCAAGCTCCTCTAGGCGGCCGGACCTCTGGAGCAGGCGGGCTCCGCCCTGGAGGTCAGCTCCGGAGCCTGCCTTCGTGAACACCCGACCGGGCCCTCCCAGCACAGCCTGGCTCCTCTGCCTTTTTGTTTTTGTTGGTCGTGGGGCTTGAACGCTGGGCCTGGGCGCTGTCCCTCAGCTCTTCAGTCCAAGGCAAGCGCTCTACCACTTGAGCCACAGCACCACTTCCAGTTTTCTAGTGGTTTCTTGGAGATAAGCGTCTCACAGACTTTCCTGCCAGGGCTGGCTTTGAACTGAGATCCTCAGATCTCAGCCTCCTGAGCAGCTGGGGTGACAGGTGTGAGCCACCGGCGTCCGGCTTTCTCTGGGGTCTGAAACGCGCCTCGGAGGTGCGGCAAACTATCCTGAGCCCTGTGCCCTTGAGTTGGGAGCCGGGGCGGGAGCGGGAGCCGTGTGCGTGCCAGCGCGGGGCCAGCTGAGCGCGGGCGAGGTGCCGGCCTGGCGGAGCTTCTGACCGGGACGGAGGGGCGGCAGGCTGCTGAGCGTGAGCGAGTGCGGCGGGAGCGTGGGCCCTGTGCTCGCGCAAAGCCCCTCCACCGCGCTTCCTGCGGGCCGGGCCGGGCAGCAGGGCGGCGGCGCGGGGAGGGAGAGGCCGCGCAGGCCGGGGGTCGGCGGGGTCCCCGCGCCGCCGCGCCCCCCTCGAGCACCGGGGACAAAAGCCGCTGGCCGCGCGCGCCGGCCGGTGAGTCCGCTCCGCCCGCCCGGCGCCCACCCGGCGCGCCCCCCTTCGGGGCCCACCCGGCCCAGGCCGCGCCGCAGGCCGCCGGCTCGGCCTTTGTCTCGGCGCCCCCACCCCGCCGCACCCCCGCCCGGCCCCGCGGCTGCGCCCGAGCCGGGCCGCCTGCACCTGCCGGCGGTCCCGTGCGCCGGCTTAGCCCGGCTCGCCCGCAGCGCCCGCCGCCCTTAAAGCGGAGGCCGGGCGCCGAACCCCCCCAGCTGCGGGCCGCTGCCCCCCCAGTCCCGGGCTGCGGGCCCCCCAGTCCCGGGCTGCGCCCCCCCCAGTCCCGGGCTGCGGGCCCCCCAGTCCCGGGCTGCGGCCCCCCCCAGTCCCGGGCTGCGCCCCCCCAGTCCCGGGCTGCGGGCCGCCCCCCAGTCCCGGGCTGCGCCCCCCCCAGTCCCGGGCTGCGCCCCCCCAGTCCCGGGCTGCGGGCCGCCCCGCCCAGCTGCGGGACGGCCCCCCCAGTCCCGGGCTGCGCCCCCCCCAGTCCCGGGCTGCGGGCCCCACCGCCCCGCCCCGCCCCAGCTGCGGCGGCCGGGCGGGCTGCCGAGGCCGCGGGCTCGGCCGGGTGTGCCGTCTCCTCCAGCAGGAAACGGGGAGACCCCTGGCCGAGCCGGGAGCCTCCGGAGCCGGGCCCGGTCCGCGCTGAGATGCGCTGACCACCCGGGACCCGGGAGCGGCCGGCGGCTGCGGGCCCCCCAGCGGCGCCGCGCAGGACCCGTCCCCGAAGCGCCGAGGGGCCCCGGGGGCCGGCCAAGGGAACCCCGCCGGCGTCCCGCACTCACCCCGCACGGCGCTCCTCCCCCCCCCCCCCCCGCCCGGCCAAGAGCGGCCCAAGGAGGCCCCGGGAGGGGTGGCGGGGAGGGCGCGCGGCGACCCCGGGCCACCCCGCGAGCCCCGCTGGACAAAGGCCGCCCGCGCCCCGCACCGAAGCGGGGCCCCGGCCCGGCCGCCCCGGCCCGCTCGGGCTCCGGCGGAGGCACCCCGCTCCCGCTAAGGCGGAACGAACGAAGCCCGGCAGGGGCAGCTTGGCCGGGGAGACCCGAGCCGGCGCCGCGGCGGCCCGCGGGACCCTCCGCGTGCGGGGCGCGGGCGGCCGCTCCGCGGGCCGGGGCCCCGCCGCCGCCCGAGCGGCCCCGGCCGGCCTCGCTCCCGGGGCGCCGGCCCAGGCCGGGCGGCGGCGGGGAGCCCGGCGGACCCGCGTCCGGCGCAGGCCCGAGGCTCGGCCGGGCGGCGGCCGCGCGGAGGCCCGGCGCCCGCTCCCCTCCCCTCCCGCCAGGCCAGGCGAGGCGAGGCGGGTCGGTGCGGGGCTCCCGAGGCCCGGCCGGAGCGCGGCGGGGCGCCTCCGAGAAGCGGCTCCGAGCGGGCGCGGACCGGGTCCCCGCCCGGCCTCCACTTGGAGCCGGGGAGGTGGGCAGCCGCGGGCCCCGGCCGGGGCAGGACGAGGGCCGCGCCTCGGCGGCCAAGAGGCGCGGTGCCCGCCGCGTGCCGCCCCGCAGGCCCGGACGCCAGGTCCGGGGCCGAGCCCCGCGGTGTCTCCGAGGGGCTGCGGCCGCGCTCCGGGGCCCGAGCTCCGCGGCGACCCGTTTGGCCCGCGGAGGAGGACTGCGCGCGCGAAGAGCGGGGAGGCCGGGGCGGGCGCGCGGGAGGCGGCGGCCCCCGCAGCCCGGAGCCGCGGGCCGCTCACCTGCCGCGCCGCGGCCCCGCGCCGCCGCCCGCGCCCGCCCGGCTCCTCCGACCCGAGCGGCCTCGCGGGAGCCGGGCCGGCCCGAGGGCCCCGGGGCCCCACCGCGCTCCGCCCAGCCCCGGGCCCCGCTTTACCTGGGCGGGAGACGGACCCGGCCGCCGGGCCGGCGGCGGGGAGGGGTCCCCGCGGCCCGGCCGCGCCCCCGCCTCCTCGGATTATTGCAAAGTTCATTTCCTGGCGGAGCGGGTGACGTCAGGGCCCGGCGTCGCGGTGGCGGGGCCGCCGGCCGGGGAAGCCGCCTCCGGTTACCCAATTACCGACTGTCAGCCCCGCCGCCCGCCCCGGCGCGGGCCGGCGCCCGCTCCCGCACCTGTCCGCCCGGCGCCCCGAACGCCTTCGGGCGCGGGGTCCCGGCCTCCCTCGGAGCCGCCGTCTCTCGTCCGTCCCGGGATGGCGGAGGTGCGCGTCCGGCCCACAGGACGCGGGGCCCACGGCGCTCGCGACGGCCGAGTCGGAGGCGCGCGGAGCCGCTCCGGGGACCGGGGCACAAAGCGCCGGCCGCACCGCTCCCCGTCCCCGGGGCCGCCTGGGGGACCCCAAGGTGGAGGAGGCGCCTCCCGCCCCGGGCGGCCCTCCGCCGGCGCCGGCGCCAGCCACGGCCTCGCCCGAGGCCGCGGGCCCGGTGGTCCGGGAAGGCCACGCCCGCGGAGGGCGACCCCTCCCCCGGAGCCGCCCCCTCGCCACCGCGTGCGCGGCCCGGCCGCCCAGGACCCCGCGGCCGGCGGCCCCGAGCCGGGGAGGGAGCGCCCCGCAGGCACCGTCGGGCGCCCCGCAGGCCCGGGCCGCGCACAGGGTGGGGCGCGGGGCCCGGGGTGCCGCGGGGAGGACCCCACGCGTGCGGGGCCCGCGGTCCCGGGGAGACTGGGCCGCCGTGGGGGCGGGGCCCGGGGAGGGGGCTCCGAGGCGGGACGGCCCGCGAGTGTCCGCGCCGGGGGTGCGGGGCCCGGCCCGCGGCGAGGGGCGCGGGGGGCGCGGGCGGCCGGGGCGGCGGGCGGAGGGGCCGCGGGCGGAGGGGTCGCGGGTCAGACCCGAGTCCCGCGGGCCGAGCGCGGGCGCAGCCAATCGGGGGCGGAGGCTGGGCGGCGCGCGGCGCTGATTGGCTGGCGCCGGCTTCTTAGGCCTGCGCGGCCCCCGCTTCATGTCTGTGCGAGAGTCGGCAGCTGGCGCCAGGGCGGCCGGGGATGCGGAGGGGCCGGAGCCGGGCGCGCCCGAGGCCGAGGCGTGCGCTGCCCCCCGCCCCTGCCCCGTGAGCCCGCCGGCTCCCGCCGCCGCCCGGGCCCGCGCCCCGCAGCCCGCGCCCCGCCCCGCCCGCTCCGCGCGCGTAAGTTTGGGGGGCACAAGCCGACGCGGGGCGCGGGCTGCGGGGCGCGGGGCGCGGGGCGCGGCCGGCTCGGCGGGGCCCGGGGCCGGGCCGGGCGCGGGCGGCCCCGGAGGGGGCGGTGCCGGGCGGCCGGCTGCCCCGCGGCTGTGGGGCCCGCGCTGCGCGTCCCGCGTCGGGCGCCGGCCGTCCGGGCTCCGACTCTCGGGGAGCTCGGGGCCCGCGCCCGTCCGGGCCGGGGTGGACGTGCGGGTCTGGGGGGCGCGGGGCGCGCGGCCGGGCCCCCTCCCCGCTCTCCTTTCGTTTTGCGCCCTCGCCGGTGCTCACCGGCCCTCGCGCCCCGTGTCGCGCAGACCCCGCCGCGGCCATGGAGGTGGCGCCGGAGCAGCCGCGCTGGATGGCGCACCCCGCGGTGCTGAACGCGCAGCACCCCGACTCGCACCACCCGGGGCTGGCGCACAACTACATGGAGCCCGCGCCGCTGCTGCCCCCCGACGAGGTGGACGTCTTCTTCAACCACCTGGACTCGCCCAGCAGCCCGTACTACGCCAACCCGGCCCACGCCCGCGCGCGCGTCTCCTACGGCCCCGCGCACGGTGAGCGCCGCGCGGCCCGCGGCGGGCGAGGCCTCGGCCACTTCCCGGATGTAGGGCCCGAGGAGCCGCCGGGAAACCCGGCCTCTCCTGCGGGCCCTCGGCCCACTCCACGGCCGAGTCCCTCTGGGTCCTTCCCCAGGGGTCTCCTGAGCCGCTTGCCCCAGCCGTGTTCAGCCTCTGGTTGTCTGGGGCCTGCGTGGGGTCCTGTGTGCGTCTCCAGCCTCTGGTTGTCTGGGGTCTGCGTGGGGTGGGTGCTGTGTGTCCAGCCCTTGCTTGTCTGGGGTCTCTGCGTGGGGTGGGTGCTGTGTGTCCAGCCTCCGGTTGTGTGGGGTCTCGGGGTGGGTGCTGTGTGCCCAGCCTCTGGTTGTGTGGGGTCTCGGGGTGGGTGCTGTGTGTCCAGCCTCTGGTTGTGTGGGGTCTCGGGGTGGGTGCTGTGTGTCCAGCCTCTGGTTGTGTGGGGTCTCTGCGTGGGGTGGTGCTGTGTGTCCAGCCTCCGGTTGTGTGGGGTCTCGGGGTGGGTGCTGTGTGTCCAGCCTCTGGTTGTGTGGGGTCTCGGGGTGGGTGCTGTGTGTCCAGCCTCCGGTTGTGTGGGGTCTCGGGGTGGGTGCTGTGTGTCCAGCCTCTGGTTGTGTGGGGTCTCTGCGTGGGGTGGTGCTGTGTGTCCAGCCTCCGGTTGTGTGGGGTCTCTGCGTGGGGTGGTGCTGTGTGTCCAGCCTCTGGTTGTGTGGGGTCTCGGGGTGGTGCTGTGTGTCCAGCCTCTGGTTGTGTGGGGTCTCGGGGTGGGTGCTGTGTGTCCAGCCTCTGGTTGTGTGGGGTCTCGGGGTGGGTGCTGTGTGTCCAGCCTCCGGTTGTGAGGGTCTCTGGGTGGGGTGCTGTGAACCCTGCCCATCTGACCCCTCTCTCTACCGCAGCGCGTCTCACTGGAGGTCAGATGTGCCGGCCGCACTTGTTGCACAGCCCGGGCTTGCCCTGGCTGGACGGGGGCAAAGCCGCCCTGTCTGCTGCACACCACCACAACCCCTGGACCGTGAGCCCCTTCTCCAAGACGCTGCACCCATCGGCGGCGGGAGGGCCGGCGGGGCCGGGAGGGCCGCTCTCTGTGTACCCGGCGGCGGCAGGTGGGAGCGGAGGAGGCAGCGGGGCCTCCGTGGCCTCCCTCGCCCCCGCGGCGGCGCACGCCGGCTCCCACCTTTTCGGCTTCCCACCCACACCTCCCAAAGAGGTGTCTCCAGACCCCAGCGCAGGGGCCGCCTCCCCAGCCTCCACCTCTGCGGGGGGCAGCGCGGCCCGGGCTGAGGACAAGGACGCTGTCAAGTACCAAGTGGCCCTGCCCGAGAGCATGAAGATGGAAGGCGGCAGTCCCCTGCGCCCAGGCCTGACCACGATGGGGGCCCAGCCCGCCACTCACCACCCCATCCCCACCTACCCGTCCTACGTGCCGGCCACCGCGCATGAGTATGGCGGCGGCCTCTTCCACCCCGGAGGCTTCCTGGGCGGCCCGGCCTCCAGCTTCACCCCGAAGCCACGCAGCAAGGCCCGCTCCTGCTCAGGTATGGCGGGGTGAGGGGGGACAAGGCCGTTCAGCCAGCCAGGGCAGGGGTGTGTGCTTCTCTAGTACTCAGCAGAAGGTTGAGGTCCCAGAATGAGAAGACACAAAAAACACATTCTCCCTGTGGGAGTGCTCCCTTTGGTCCCCAGACCTGCAGGCTTCTTGGCTCCTTGGGGCCCAGGTGCGTGACATAGGCTGAGTCTCCTGGCTCCTCTCTGGATCTCCAGTGAAGACTCTGTGTGTGCGGGAATGCGGTTATGCGGGAATGCGGGAATGCGGGCATGCGGGCCGGTCTGCCTGCCCTGTGCTGCATATGTGTGTCTGCAGTGCCGGCCGCTGCAGGGCCTCCAAGGGCGCAGACCTGGAAGGGATCTGGGTCTCGAAATCAGTCAGCACAATCTCAGGATTTCAAGGCCTCTGATCTCTTCGGGAGATTTCCCTGAAACGAAATTCCCAGGGCCTGGCTTGCACCCCTGCCCCCAGGCACCGCACGAGGGCCAGAGCCAGGGGGATGGAGCCACGGGTGCCTGCCCTTGTCCAGCAGCAGCTAGATCAAACGAGGTTTGTCCAGGGTCTGGCTGAAGGGCAGTAGCCCGTGCCTAGTGTGCCTCCTTCCCCACAACTCTGAGTCCCAGAGCAAGAGATTTCTTTCCCTTTCTTTCTTTTTCTTTCTTTCTTTCTTTTCTTTCTTTCTTTCTCCCTCCCTCCCTCCCTCTCTTTCTTTCTCTTTCTCTTTCTTTTTCTCTCTCTCTTTCTCTCTTTCTCTTTCTTTCTTTCTTTCTTTCTTTCTTTCTTTCTTTCTTTCTTTCTTTCTTTCTTTCTTTCTTTCTTTCTTTCTTTCTTTCTTTCTTTCTTTCTTTTCTTTCCTCCTGTGTCCAGGAGTCTCCTTCTCTTGGCTGGGATGTATTGACTATTGAAGTCTGGAAGAATTTTCCTTGGTGACACACTACTAAGGCGCTCTCGCAGCCCTGACCTGATTCAGGGTCCCCACCCTGCTTGGACCATCTCAATTGCTTTTTCTTAGTCCTCTCGATCCCAAGTTTGTTTTGTGCTTTATCTGAATTCCAGATGCCGTTGTAACAAACAAAATCCCAAGCAACAAAAAAGCAGGGCCACTCGGTCTAAAGTGAAAGAGCTTCTTACTTGTTTTATTTTAAAGGACAACAACTTTGATCAGGAGCCAGGGTTCACACCGAATTCTAGGGTTTCAGCGGCAGGAGAGAGAGTTGGGCAGAAGGAAGTTTCCTTGGATGAACGGGACTGGACGGTGGGGGCTCAGGACATGGAAGGGAAGACTCTGGAGGAGAGAAAGGAGTGAGGAGCGGAGAGGAGAGGGGAGGGGCTGCACAGGTAGCCTCAGCTCCCTTTCCTCGCTTCTTGCTGGTCGGCTCTGAGGCCGGGTTCCTGTGGGTGTTTCACACCCACAGCCGGCTTTGAGGGGGGATTTGGCCCTAACAGACCCTCTGCATTTCTGAAGGGATCTCCTGAGCTACTCTTCCTTGGGGGAGGGGAGGGCACCGAGCCCCAGCAAAGGCGACCCGTGTCTTCCGTCCCCAGAGGGCCGGGAGTGCGTCAACTGTGGGGCTACAGCCACCCCGCTGTGGCGGAGGGACGGCACCGGCCACTACCTGTGCAACGCCTGCGGGCTCTACCACAAGATGAACGGGCAGAACCGGCCTCTGATCAAGCCCAAGCGGAGACTGGTAGGAGCTGCTCTGAGGTGGGGGGCACCGGGGGGAGGTTCTGAGCAGGAGCTGGGCGCTAAGGGGAAAACAGAAACAATTGAGCAACAACAGCAGAAGCCCCCCGACCGCCGAGCCTTCTGATCGTTGAAATCGTTTGGGGGTCAGTTGGGGTTGCTTTTCTTTCTGGCCAATTCTTTCTGCACCCCACCAGGTCCTCTTGTACCCCACTGCTCGGGGATCCCCAAAGCCGGTGTCCTAGGGCCTGCCCTGGCCCCTGGCTTCTGCTTAACTCTCTTTAAAAATAGGGCTAGGAAGGACCTTTCTCTGGCTGGCTCAGGGCTGCCTCCTCAGCCTCCCAACTCGGTCTCTTCATGCTTATTTAAATAAAACACTCACACCAGCCACCAAAAAAACCTGCCCTTTATTATTTTTCCATGGAGTCACCTATACTGTGTATTTTCATTTGAGTGATTTAAAAAAAAATGCCCTTTCGGATCTCCTGCCGGAGTTTCCTATCCGGACATCTGCAGTACGAAGATAAGGAAACTCCGTGTATCTGTTTCCGGACTCTACGAGGTTTTGGAGAGCCGCCTCCGCTCCGTCCCGCCTCTCGCGGGGCTGTTTTGAAATTTCTAATACCCTCCACTCTGCAAATAATGCGTAAAATGCTAAGAATAATAAATATATTTTTTCAGGGCGAAGTGATTTATGAGCTTAAATCGTTCGCCCGCTTCGGGGCCTCTTCTCCCTTTCCCCCTGGATGGAGGGCGGGCAAGGCGGTGGGGGTGGGGCGGAGGACGGCTGCTGGCCCCGGAGTCAGAATTCCAGCTCCAGGCTTACTCACTGCCGCTCCTCCCTGCCCCCGCAAAGTCAGCCATCCTGTCCCCCCGGTGGCCGCGCAGGCCCGGGGCCATTCCAGGCTCTGCTGGCCCCAGCCCCCGTCCCCGCCCTGGCTGCCTGGTGACTCGGGTGCCAGTGCTCTGGGAAGCGGGGAGACTGCAGGGCTCTCGTTCTCCAGTACAGGTCCTTCCTGGTGCCTTCGGTGCCTTTCTCTGGGGACCCTCCTCTCAGGACCCAGGGGCCTGTATAGTCGATGGACCAACTACAGAGAAATGTCCAGTGTGATCCTCCATCACTAGGGTGTGGCTGGGGTGGTGGAAGGAGCCGAATGCCTACATTTACCCCAACACAGCTCAGCCCCAGTGGACCTGAACCCCCCTCGCACTCCCGCCCCTCCCCCTGCCTTCCAGGACAGCTGGGGGGTGGGGCCTCAGTTTCCCCACCGAGGGGATTAAGTTTGGAGACTGGGGAGGCGGCTGGTGTTCCCCTCTGGTTTGCAGTCCTGTTGACTGAGAGAGGAGCAGGCTTCCAGGGCTCTGTATTCCCTAGTTCTGTGATTCTCAATTGGACAGTTCTGCTGTTTTGAGATGCCTTGGTTCCCGGGTGAGGCGGGGGTGGGGTGCGGGAGCACAGCTCGCCACGCCGCCGTCTCTCCCCTCTCCCCCTCTCCCAGTCGGCAGCCAGGAGAGCGGGCACCTGCTGTGCGAATTGTCAGACCACCACCACCACTTTATGGCGCCGGAATGCCAACGGGGACCCGGTCTGCAATGCCTGTGGCCTTTACTACAAGCTGCACAATGTGAGCCTGCCCCCCCTCCCGCCCCCCCCCGCCCGCCCCCCCTGCCCGCCCCACCCCCCCCACCCCGGGAGCCCTGGGCTTTGTGTGTCGGGCTCCCAGTCCAGCCTCCAGTGCAGAGCAGGCCGGACCCCCAGGAGTGCGCACCCAGGGGCACAGGACCCCCAGGAGGGCACACCCAGGGGCGCAGGACCCCCAGGAGGGCTTCCCTAAGAGAGGTGCCTCCGTTCAGGAGGTGGAGCAGCCAGAGCAGCCTCGGGGCCTGCAGGAAGCTTAGCTTTGTGAAGTAAAAAATGTGTAGGATTTGGGGTTTTTTTGCTTCTTTTTTGTCGGTCGTGGGGCTTGAACTCTGGGCCTGGGCGCTGTCCCTCAGCTCTCGAGCTCAATGTGAGCGCTCTACCACTTGAGCCCCAAGCCACTTCCGGTTTCCTAGTACTTTGTTGCAGATAAGAGTCTCACAAACTTTCTTGCCCGTGCTGGCTTTAAACTGTGATCCTCAGATCTCAGCCTCCTGAGCAGCTAGGATGACAGGCCTGAGCCACCGGCGCCCCGCTTAGAGTGTAGATTTTGAGTGTGGTGGGGAGCTAAGCTCAGGCAGGAGCAACAGCTCCTCCCTCCCAGAACGAGAGACAGCGCTGGCTAGGGCTGCTGGGGCTTGGATTCCAGGCGTTCTGGGGACCTGTCTTGCCGCCTGGGGGCACAGGGAGGCCTGGAGGGCATCCATGGGCCAGGCACACAGCCCCTAACGGCCTGGTGCTGGCTGGCTCCAGGTTAACAGGCCGCTGACCATGAAGAAGGAAGGGATTCAGACTCGGAACCGGAAGATGTCCAACAAGTCCAAGAAGAGCAAGAAGGGGGCTGAGTGCTTCGAGGAGCTGTCCAAGTGCATGCAGGAGAAATCCTCGCCCTTCAGCGCAGCCGCCCTGGCCGGACACATGGCGCCCGTGGGCCATCTCCCGCCCTTCAGCCACTCGGGACACATCCTGCCCACCCCGACGCCCATCCACCCCTCCTCCAGCCTCTCCTTTGCCCACCCTCACCCAACCAGCATGGTGACTGCCATGGGCTAGGGACAGAGGTCGCGGCAGGGGCCGAGCGGGAGTCAGGCCATGCACGCCTCTGCTGCCCACCCTTCCCCGGAGCCTGCGCGGCTCCCGAGGCCCAGCCGGAGCCCGGAGCCTCGCTGTACCCGAGGGCTCCCTTGGCCTCCTGCCATTACTGTGAATACTCTCTGGGCTGAGCGAGGCTGTTCCAACGTGACTGAAGACCCGGGGAGCAGAAGGACGGCTTTCCGGTGGAGAAGGAGGGGACAGACAAACGCAAGCGTTTTTTGAAGGAAAAAAAAAACGTAAGCAAAACTAATTTATTTGCTCTTGTTTCTGGAGACCCCGAGGAGAGGCTGTCCTGTGTTCTCTGTGTTTTCCTGCGGCCTGCGTGCCTGTGACCCGGGGCTGCCAGGCTCTGGGGCAGGCAGGTCTGGAGGGCGAAGTGGGGCCTCTCTCTCCCTGGCCTTCCTCTGTCCGGCGTGCGCGGGCCCTGCCTGCGGCCGGCCCTGGAGGCTAGAGACAATTGCAGGCGGTGCTGCTCAGATTCCCAGGCCCGGGCTGGGCCACAGGAAGGAAACAACATTTTCTTGAAAGGGGAAATGTCTCCCTGGTTGCTCCCTTGGATTTGAGGCTGGAGTTGGAGTGACCTGTGTGTCCCCAGCAGGCCCAGGCCGTGGCCGGGGCCCTGTACATACATACGTCCTTCTGCTAACCCTGCCACCCTCCCCCACTCCGAGACAAATAGGAAATATTAGAGGCAAAGCAAAACCTGCGCAAGCTTCACTCACCAACAAGCTGTTTTGTTTTTAAATTCTCCGGGTCCAGTCAATTGTACATGGCCGTGGTAGCCTCGCCCGGGCGGGTGAGACCTTCCCGAGCTTGGAGATTTTGAAAGTTCTTGGACCATCCTGCAGCCCTACCCAGAGAGCGGGCGGGGGTGGGGGGTGGGGGCTGGCACTCTGGGGGCTGGAGGCCGAGGCCAGCCTGGCAGGTGGAGGGGCCGCCTGTGGGGCCGCGAGCCGTGGCTGCCTGGGTCCTCTGAGGTACAGCTGTACATAGATGTGTCCCACGCCTCGATTCTGCGTGGTTGGTGGGTTGGCCGTGATGAGGCTGCAGCTGGGGGCTCCTGACCAGGAGGACAGTTGTGCCCCCGGGGGCTTCGCTGTAGCACCACCCACCAGAAGTAACTTATTTTGTACTAGTATCCGCATACGAGAAAGAATCGGCAGTATTTTCTGTTTTTGTTTGGCCTGTTTTATTTTGGGTTAGTAAACTAAGTTATTGTTAATTATGTACAACATTTATATATTGTCTGTATAAATCGTATGCTATTCTCCTATTCCTTTAAAGTGAATACTGTTAAGAATAATAAAATACTTTTTGTGAATGCTCCAGCCTGGCTGTGGGCTCCTGGGCAGCCGCCCCAGGCCCGGGTCTGACTGTTGGGTTGCCGTGCGCGGCTGCCCTCCAGGGTGGCCGGGGGGGGGGGGCGTCCCCGGAGCTGCCGGAGCTGCCAGCCCTGCCCGGCCTGGCCTCCAGGGTGGCTGGGGGGGCGTCCCCCGAGGTGCCAGCCCTGCGCGGCCTGGCCTCCAGGGTGGCTGGGGGGGCGTCCCCCGAGGTGCCAGCCCTGCGCGGCCTGGCCTCCAGGGTGGCTGGGGGGGCGTCCCCCGAGGTGCCAGCCCTGCGCGGCCTGGCCTCCAGGGTGGCTGGGGGGGCGTCCCCCGAGGTGCCAGCCCTGCGTGGCCTGGCCTCCTGGTTGGCCTCCTTTGAGTGGCTCCCGTCGGTGTTGGGCTCGCACGGGGTGGGGTGGGGTCGAGCAGTGGGCATGGCTGCTCTCCAGTGTTTGGTCTCTGAAAGCCCAGCAGAGTTCCCACAGGGTGTGTGTGGGGCCCAAGGATGGAACATCTCACCAGTGGCTCTGCGGTTCCCGCCGTGGAGAGGCCACACCCGCAGCGGCCGCTGGGCCGCGTCTCCCCCAGCATCTCACCAATGCCACCGAGCCGAGCAGTGTGTGGTTTGGGGGAGGGGAAGGTCTCGCGATGGCCCGGGCTGGCCACAGCTCTTGGACTCAAGTCTCTTGAGTAGCTGGGACTCCAGGAGTGTGCCTGTGCTCAGAGCCCCATTTTCCCTGGTGATCTGACTTTTTACTTGTGATCTTTAGCCACAACCTCTCTCCACCGGTGTCCCTACCAGTATCTCTGGTCACATCTCTGACCACCACCTCTCACCATCGAATCGCGGTGATCCCTGGTCACCAGGGCCCCCGACCGCCAGGATGTCTCCCCACCTCTGAATCTGGTGAGGGCTGTGGTGGTGGATTTGTTCCCAGTCACATGCGGGCCTGGCCGGCCAGCCCTGGGCAGGGCCGTGGGTGTCTGGGGTCTTGGCCCCCTATCTGCAGTAGCTCACGCAGAGCTCAGCCAAGTGGGGTCACAAGGTCTCCTCTGGCCTGCGGCGTCCGGGACACCGAGCGAGCATGCTCCTAGCCATCATGCCCTGCAGTGGGGCCTGCAGCCAGTGAAGGCCCATCACCCTGGCTGGCCCTGAGTGCCCGGCCTCTGTGCTGGCCTCCGGGTCCCCAGCAGACACCATCCTCTGCTCATCTGGTCTCTGCTTACTGGGTCTCTGACTACAATGCCCTTGCCATGATCCTTGATTCTTTATCTTTTCTTTTTTTTTCTGCCAGTCCTGGGGCTTGAACTTGGGGCCTGGGCGCTGTCCCTGAGCTGCTTTTGCTCAAGGCTAGGGCTCTACCACTTGAGCCACAGCACCACTTCTGGCTTTTTCTGTTATGAGGTGCTGAGGAATGGAACCCAGGGCTTCATGCATGCGAAGTGAGCACTTGACCACCGAGCCACCTTCCCAGCCCCATCCTTGATTCTGGACAGCGATTCGGACGTCCACCTAGCCCAGGATGTAGCCCAGGATGTTTTCCTTGAATTCTTCCTGTCTGAGACCCCTGTGCCACAGGGTCTGATCTTGTGGAGGCTGGAGAGGGTGGGGGGGCTCTGGATCTGGACCTCAGGTCCCTGAGAGGTGAGCCCTTGCTCTGTGCCCACCCCGCCATGCAGAATGGACAGCTGGGACAGACTGGAGCCACCCTGTCTTCCACTGGTTCTGGCTGATCCCAAGCCACACAGGCAAGTTCAGCAGCTCCCCCTCCCCGGCCAGCTGCCCCGCCCTAGGCCAAGACAGAGCCTGTGCCCCAGGTCACAGCCGCAGGGCTGTGTGTCTGAAATCATGTCCTCCTGAGTGCACACATGCGTGCTGTTGGACACCCCTGCATACCACACACATTCCAGGTGCTGGGGCCGCAGAGTAACCAGAGCAAGAGTCCTGTCTGTGCAGCTCAGCTCCCTGCACTCAACAGGAGGGCTCCTGGCCTGCGGGGTCCAGAGCTCAGAGCCTAGAGCCTGCAGTCTAGAACCCAGAAGCCAGGACTGAAAGTCTTGTGCTCCAGAACTTAGGGACCTAGAGCCCCACATGGAAACAATGTGGACCCTTGAACCTAGATCTTGGATTGAAGTTTGAAGCTCAGAATCCAGAACTTAACCAAGAACCCCACGATAGGGCTCGGAACCCCGCCTAGCACCAAGAGCCAGGAACCCAGGGTCCTAAACGTGGGCCCTGAATCTACAACCCAGAGCCTGGGATTCAGAACTCAAAGCTTAGCACCAAGGACACAGAACCCATCATCTAGAATCCAACACCAGAACCTACAACTGGCCTGCAACCCAAAGCCAGAATTCAGAGCCCAGCTCAGACTGACCACATGGAGTCCTGGGTTCTCAGTGATGCTGCTGGCTTCCTCCTCCCTTCCCTTCCCTCCCTCCCTCCCTCCCTCCCTCCCTCCCTCCCCCTTCTTTCTCCCCCCCTCTACTCAGTGCCACTCCTGACTTCCTTCTTCCCTCCCTCCCTCCTCCCCCTCCCTCCTCCCCCTCCTTCCCTCCCTTGCCCCTCCCTCCAGGTTCTCTGTGATGCCCCTGGCTTCCTCCTCCCTCTTCCCTCCCTCCTCCCCCTCCTCTCCCTCCTCCTCCCCCTCCTTCCCCACTCCCTCCTCCCTCCCTCCCTTTCCCTCCTCCCCTCCTTCCCCCTCCCTCCAGGTTCTCTGTGATGCTCCTGGCTTCCTCCTCCCTCCCCTCAGGCCCCCATTTTTGGAGCAGCCCCCAGTCAGGCACCATGGTGGGCAGAGGAACTGGCCAGCAGGTGGGCCGAGCTGGCCAGGCCTTGCCGGCTACAAGGGCCCAGGCCTCTCTGCCTCCGCCGGGGTCAGTACTTGCTCTGTGGCCACTGAATGGATTACTGGGTCCCACGGATGCTCAGGACCTTGTTGGCCATGCTGGGTGGACCGGCCGGGAGAGCGGACCTGGGCTGGGGGTAGAGCAGGCAGGGGTGCGGACAGCAGGCCTACCATCCATCACGTCCTTTGGCTCCTGGGCCACACCTGGCTTCTGTTCCCTCATAAAACCACTGGCCCCGACCATGACTCCTTGCTCAGCCATTGTGCCATAAACAATTTGGGTTTTGAGAACACAGAGCACCCGCGGGCCAGGCTGGCGGGGACTGTCACCAGGCGCCAGGCGCAGGGTGGGGCCCGCCTTTGTCCCATCTGTTCGCGCCCTGGTGGGGCTGCTGCAGGCCTTCCTCCCCTGGCCGGGCTTCTCCCAGCCTTGGCATCTTTCTCCCATTTTCCATCACAAGAGACCAGACCCTGCCCAGCCTGTGACCGCCGCCAGTGGCGGCCACCCCGCGGGCGGGGACGGTGCTATCGGACCCCCGCAGGAAAGGCCACCCGTGCCACCCGCGGGCCCCAGCAAGCTTGCACTCCAAGGCGGTTCATTCACCCCCACCACCTCCTTTTTTTGGGGGGGGTCCGGTCGTGGGGCCTGAACTCTGGTCCTGGGCGCTGCCCCTCAGCTCTTCACCTCAAGGCGAGCGCTCTACCACTTGAGCCACAGTGCCAATTCTGGCTTTTTTTTCTGCTTATGTGGTGCTGAGGAATGAACCCAGGACCTCATGCATGCAAGGCAAGCACTCTACCACTGAGCCACCTTCCCAGCCCAACCACTACCTCCTTTTTGTTTTTGTTAAAGGCCAAATGATTTCTAACTTTATTTAAAAAAACTAGAATTCAAAAATTAAGAGAATTAGTAAAGTGTGTGTGTGTGTGTGTGTGTGCATGCATGCACGCTCATGTTTCCAACATAAAACAAAACTGTTATTGTTGTGGCATTCAAACCCCATGCTGCTGCTAAGAATAGATCAATGGTCCCTCAGGTAGGAAACACTCCCTGGTATTTACAAGATGGGGGATGAAGGCTGGGGGGGAGGTGTTGGCCCAGGGGTGCCTGGTCTGTCTGATGGAGCACCCACTCAGAGACAATCAACTTCAGAGGGTCTCTGGGCTGTGAGATGTTTTACAAAATGTGCCTGAATGGAAAATGGCTTCGGCAGACCCAGCATCCTTTGGTGGATGGAAGATCTGGGCTCTTCTGCGGACTCCACAGAGGGGAGCCAGAGGAGCCCTGAGCTGGCTGCCTCCCGCAGCACCGGCCTAGGAGGGCAGCAACTCCCTCCATATGCCGGAGGCTACAGACTAGACCTGGATGCTGCGTTTTGCAGTTCTGGGGATTGAACCCAATGCCTGCGATGCTAGGAGAGCACTCAACCACGGAGCCACACCCAGCCCTAAAGATTTAATCGTGAGACCAGCGCTGGCAACCTACCCAGCTGGGCTAGCTTCGTTTCTGCTCTGAAGAATAATTAGAACACTAGAAACACATGCAACGTTTTTTAGTTTTGGTTTTGTGCTGGTTCTGTGGCTTGAACTCAGGTCCTGGGCTCTGTCCCTGGGCTTTTTGCTTAAGGCTAGGCCTCTATCATTCGAGCCACAGCTCCACTAATGGCTTTTTTGGTGGTTGATTGGTGATACGTCTCATGGACTTTTTTGTTTTGTTTTTTGTTGTAGTGGAGCTTGAACTCTGGGCCTGGGCGCTGTCCCTCAGCTCCTCAGCTCAAGGCGAGTGCTCTACCACTTGAGCCACAGCGCCGCTTCCGGTTTTCTGATGGGTAATTGGAGATAAGAGTCTTGTGGAGTTTCCTGCCCGGGCTGGCTTTGAACTGCGATCCTCAGATCTCAGCCTCCTGAGCATCTGGGCTGACAGGCGGGAGCCGCTGGTGCCCGGGCCTCCTTGAACTTCGGTCCTCAGGGCTGTTTCCTGAGTAGTTAGGTTACAGGCTGAGCCTCTGGCGCCGGCTTGGGCTGCTTTTGAAAGTAGCTCTGAGTGAACGCATTTTGGTCTTAAGACCTGAATGTGTGACTCCCCGCCTTGCTCTTGTAAGATGTTCCAAGGACGTTATGGAGGAAAACGGACTTGTTGATAAAACTAAGCGT